TCGTCTCTCATGGTTCGTCCACCCCTCCGATTTCCCCCGCTTCATTCCTCCCCTCCCGCTACCTTCTTCTTCTTTGACCCCTGCTATTTGTAACAACTTCAACTGTGTAGCCTCTAGGACGCTGTCACCGCTTTTAAGTCTTCAGGCTAGCCCAGCATTTCCCACCAGCACCACTAGTGGAATTTTGAGCCCGCTAATTCTCCATGGTGGTGGTAGGACTGTTGCTGTGTTCTGTAGCATGCCTCGTCTCTAGCCGCTAACTAGACCCCAGTAGCACCTCCAGCCCAGCTGTGACAACCGAGAGTGTCTTTAGTCATTGCCAAATGTCCCCTGGGGGACAACTACCGGTATAGAGTCAGGCACTCCAACTTTGATGGGACACTGACCTTCCAAGCAGGCTTTCAGCCCATTCACAAGCTCCTGCCCCGATTCCTGGAAGAGGCACTGAGAGAACCACCTGTCGGGAGAAAACTCAGCCATCGGTTTCAGAAACAAGACTGAAAATATCATCATTTCGATTCTGAATTCATCTGGGACCTCTGGGGGGGGGAAAAAAAATCACTCTGGGTAGCCGAGGATCCGGTTAAGGATCCATTCTTTGATGCCCTGCAGAGATTGAAGCATTGGTCTCTTCCTGTACCCCAAGGCGTCTATTAAAATTGTGAATGCACACAAACAGGAATTCGGAATGGAAGCATTCGTTACCGTTGCTCCAAATTATGCGCACTTTCACTGTGCAGGACTACTGCTGTCTCGCCCACTGGTGGACACCACGGAATAAACAGCCAGTGTTCCTGGGGATTCCTGCTTCCAGGCTCATGTCTTAAACAATGGCTCATCCATAATAATCTGCTTTGCGGGAGCCATCAGATAGTGATAGCTATCTGAGCAATATTTGTCTCCAGTTTCTAGCCCCTGTATTTCAGTTACTTCAAAGTATTACGATGACCTGACATGTAATGTGTTTGTCTGCCTGCTTCTTTTCCAGAATGTACATTCCATGAGATGCGATCATGCTTTTTGGTGCAACATTTTCACAGCTCTGTTCTCAGCATTTGAATATAGCGAGGGATCAAAAATATCTATGAACTGAATGAAAGCTTAATTTCCTTCCCGTTGTTGCAACATTCTTTTCTACCTCCCCCCCCGCCCAAACAAAAAGCAAACCAATGTTACTATATCAAAATAGAAGATGACTGGGGAAAAAAATGATGCCATTTGCGATAATAAAGATGGATCCTCCTTAAAGAATACTCTGGAATTATACCTCGTGGGCCACGATCATCAGTAAGCATAGCAGTGATCTGTGATGGTCATACATGTCCTAATGCTCAAGAAACTATAAACTGAAGAGTGTGTAAACTCATCTGAAGGCAGATTCTACTCTAACCCAGACAACAGAAGTGTGCCTGGAGCAAAGGAGAAACATGGGCTATGAAAGCATGTCTTCTTTGGCAGGTCCATTACATATAGATGTATGAAGACCAGATCCTGTACCTATAGGCTGCTGGTTATATTCCTAGGTCTGTCTTCCCCATGTGGGGCCTGAGTTCTTCCCGCTGTGTTCATGGTCCCCATGCAGAGACTCACTGATCATCAGAGCCTCTGGTGGGCAGAATTCCAGCTCTCCTAATGCTCGGAACCTGTGACTATCACATTGCCCTGTGATTTTGTCCTATGGCATGGTTGTCTTTCTAAGGAGGTTTTCCAGATGGACCTTATCTAATCTCATGAGCCCCTTGAAAAGCAGACAGTTTTCTCTGATGGCAGAAGACGAAGAGAGATTTGAAGCAGAACAAGAACTCAGTGCGACCTGGGGGAGCAGGGCATTCGAGAAGGAATGTGGATGAAACCCGAGGAGCTGAGACGGGCCTGTAGCTGGCAGCCAGCAAGGAAATGGGGATCTCTGTCCTCTGGCTACAAAAACAAACAAACAAAAGCAAATGGATTCTGCCACAAGTATGTGCACTTGGAGGAGGACCCCCAGCCTCCAGAGGGGAATGTGGCTTGGCCAACATGTGCCCGACCCGAGAGCCACATGGTGCCAGATGGCTGCCCACTGGGCCTGTGCGCAGACACCTGAGTGTCCTCTTAAGCCTTCATATTTGTCATCATCTGGTAAGCAGCAACAGAAAAATGATACAGAGCCTTCCACATCAAATGCTTTTGGAGCATAACTTTGCCAGAAGAGGAGGAGAACACCTTGTCCGTGGACCTTGTCAACCAACACTAGTTGGGTCCACCTCTCCTGGTGGGTCTACATCTGGCTGTGATCTATACAACGTCGGCCAAAGTCCACTCACTGTGTCAATTCTTGATTGATGCTGGACACAAAGCCTGCAATCGACTTCCGCCGATGTACAATATCGTGGAAACAGTCGATACCGATGAACATCGCATTCTGTAACTGAAATTTGTAAAAAAAAGATAGTACATGGAGTTAGAACACAATAGGAGCAAAATCAAGCAATTATGTTTTCCAGATAGGTAAACAGAGTCTTAATGAATTCCACTGAACACAACTGAAATAAAGAGAAGGCAACGAAATCCAACCTACTCCTGTGTCCACCTTCCAGAGGGCACCTCCCATCTTGCAGTTCATCTGCTGGGCAAGCTTTGTCGCAATGGTCATCAGCGTCTGGGGTTTGTCTAAGGTCCGTGCGATGACACACTGGCTTGGGATCGGGCAACTGACACACAGGTATTGTTTTATGCTATCATACAGATCTTTCTTTTCACTGGACAGCACACAAACGACCTTGAAAGAAAGCAAAAGTGAGACTGTCCAGGACGCCACCACAGTGCTAGGAGAACTGGACGCCACGTCAAGGAAACTGTAGGTGGAGCACTGATAAAGCAGAGTCTATTCATTCAATCATAGCTGGTCCATGAGGGCAAAGGGTCTGGAATCCCAGTCCATTAAATAATTGTGAAGGTGACCACGTGGAAGAAGAAAGTCTGGGAGCCAGGCACAAGCAGTATGCATGAATCCCTTGAACTTGCAAAGTCCTTACGTCCTGGTTATTCTGTTTCCGGGAGTTTATCATGAAGTTAACATGGGGGAGGGTTAAAAAGCACAGACTGAAATGCACCATTCTGAGGACAGTCACCACGTACAGGCCGGACGCCATGCGAGGGGCACTTGCCAAGCGCTGTACCCGACTCAGCTCATTCTTCAATAAGCTACTGAGATCAATACTGTCCCCATTTTACCCCCAAGCAAACAAGCTCAGGAGTTCTGGGAACTGCCTGATGTACAGACAGCAGGCAAAGTTTCCAACACTCGCTCGGACCTCCAGCAGGACACGGAGCCGCGAGGAAGGGCAGTTACTGCGTGGCGGGGTTCGGACTGGGACGGGAAAATCCTCCAGGTATTGTTCTTAACATGTATGTATTATTATATGTATAATATATTATACGTTATATATTTTTACATTTTATACATTTTTAACAATGATGCTTCTAGGAAGACTTTCTGCGGCAGATATCCTCAGATTAGGGACGTTCTTTTCTCATTCTAGATGAAGTTTTTCTTTTCACATGAAGGAATGTGGAATTCTATCAAATGCATTATATGCATTTTGTTTACATTTTATCTGCAATTATTTTTCCTAAAATTTCACCACACTAACCAGTTCATTCCTTCTTTTTCTAAAAACTTGATTTCCAGTTTTCAGACTTACTGGCACCCCTGGCCCATGGTGTTCTCCTAATATTTCTTTACTCTCCAGCATGTCTCTTAATCATGAACTCTCCTTGTTCTTAATGTTGTCAAGCCTCCTTGGGACTCTCTTCTGTACTCTTGACAACATCAAGTTTTAATACTTTTGGCTTTAGATTTGTTGTTCTGCTTAGTTTCTGCTTTTTGTTATTTATTTTGTTCTACTTTATTTTGGTTCACTCTGCACTTAGTGCATTAAGATTCAGACTTCATTCCTAATGCATTCATCAAGGGCCAGAAGTCCCCTGTCATTATTAGTTTGCTGTTTTATACAGGGTTTGACTCATACTACTTATAAGGTCTAAATTACTTTTTAAAATTTCTATCGGTATTATTCTAATACAATTGCTACTTAACAAGTAATTCTTTGGTTTTGGAATGTATGTGGTTTAATGACTTCTAATTGTAACGGACTGTGGTCAATGTGTGTGATAGGTAGGATACCAGTCCTTCATTATTGGTTTGGGATTTCTCCATGCCTGTTGAGATCCTTTAAAGATGAGGGCTAAACTAACTTAGAGATGTGCTTTAAAAAAAAGCCTCTCGTCTTTTGGGTACAGATTATATACACATACACACACACACATACACCCATCCCTCCCTCTTTTTATATATTTTAGTAGGTCAGTAAGTCAAGCTTTTAAATATAAGTGCAACATCTTCTAGATTCTAAATTTCTATGTGATGATTTCTGAGTTTTCTGAGAGCGGTCAGCTAATGTTGTCTCCTACAAATTCAGTTTCTGGAATAGCATGGGCCAGTCTCCTCCTAGGAAGAGCTGTTCAAGCTGATGAAAATACCAGACTGTGCCTCTTTGGGGCTCAGCCAGTCTAACAAGTTCATAAAGTTATAGGGTTAAGACAGGAGAGAAGTAGGGACCAGAGAAATGATCTCAGAAATTGTGGCCACTTTCTCCCAAAGGGTCTGGCCACCCCGCCACTGAACATGTCTGAAAGGTTGGAGACCATGAACAGACTGACGGCCTCCGAGAGAGAGAAGGACAGGAATTGGAGACAAGACCCTGCCAAGGACAGGGTACTTGAGATAGATTTTGAGTGACTACCACAAAACTGAACAGATGTGATTTATAACACTATGTATCAAGACATATCAAGTCACTATCAAATAGACACTTACCATCTGTGTTTTGGAGGACACGTGATTTTCTAAGGCAGATGTATAGGATTGGACTGTATCACTCACTTCAAGTCTAGAAAGTAAGTATATAACATCTATATTCAAAAGGTAATGAACAGTAAACATTTTATGCAGCCAATGACTCACGATATAAAACAAAACAAAATACAATGTTAAGACAGTTACTTCAGCTGAAAGGCATTTTTTAAAGATTTACTTATTCATTAAAGAGAGGGAGAGAGCAAGCCCATGTGCACATGGAGGGAGGGGCAGAGAGAGAGAGAATCTTAAGCAGAACTCCTCACTGAGCCAGAGCCTGACCTGAGCAGAAACCAAGAATCGGACGCTTAACCGACTGGGCCTCCCAGACACCCCAAAAGTTTGTTCTTTAAACAAAAATAAGTTCAATTTTTGGCTTCCTTAGCATGTATCTCAATAGCCACAAACCATACATCACAAAAGCCTATTTTACTACCTGTTACTGGAATAGACTAAACTTTGTTTACAAACTTTCAGGGTTTTGATAAAGCGACCAATTTGTCTAATTTAGTATCTTCTGATTCCACTTCCAGATAGCTAACAACTGGTTTTTAAATGGAGGTAATTGCGGGGCGCCTGGGTGGCTCAGTTGGTTAACCGACTGCCTTCGGCTCAGGTCATGATCCTGGAGTCCCGGGATCGAGTCCCACATCGGGCTCCCTGCTCGGCGGGGGGTCTGCTTCTCCCTCTGCCCCTCCCCCTCTCATGTGCTCTCTCTCATTCTCACTCTCTCAAATAAATAAAATCTTTAAAAAAATAAAAAAATAAAAAATAAATAAATAAATAAATGGAGGTAATTGCGGCTCAACTCACATTTTTGCCTCTCTCATAGAGATGCCCATGGTGGGTGTGACTCTCCGTAGACTCTGCAGAAAAGAGGAGGCTGCTCTGTAGTTTCCTGTGGGATAGAGTATTAGCCAATGATCTAGTGACTTCACCTTGAGTAAGGGTCCACTTCTTGTCTCTTTTGACCAATCTGCAAATTGTGGGTGGGAGTCAAACTGGAAGAGAGAGGATAAGATTTCCATTTAAAAATTTGTATTATAGGGCGCCTGGGTGGCTCAGTTGGTTAGGCGACTGCCTTCGGCTCAGGTCATGATCCTGGAGTCCCTGGATCGAGTCCCGCATCAGGCTCCCTGCTCAGCGGGGAGTCTGCTTCTCCCTCTGACCTTCCCCCCTCTCATGTGCTCTCTCTCAAATAAATAAATAAAATCTTTAAAAAAAATTTGTATTATATATATACATATATATATATATTATGCCTTTGCTGATCAATATATATATTGAGGAGCCTTCCCATTGCCAATCTGTGCTACTTCCTATTGAAAGGTTATCATTTTAAACTTCAGTTGTGACTGAATTTACTTATTTCTTCCTTAAGACAGAGGGGAGTAATACTGGAATTCTATCATGGGTTATTCTGGATTGTCTTGATTCTAGGTAGTTGACTCTTAAGGAAACATTTGGAAGATTGTTTTGCCATGAGAGAGGACCACAACACTAACAGAGATAAAATACAGATGCCAAGAATCCTCTATGCCAAGGATGTTCTATGCATTTTAATGGAACATCTGCTTGCTCTCTCCTAGATGAAGGACAGGTAGCCCCAGAAGAGAGAGAGCAGTGACAGGTATTGACCCGAATCAGTTCCTCCACGTTATTCATTTGACCCCAAATGACTAAATGAATAACTAAAATGGGACCATTTTGAAACCGTCTTACCGCTCGTCCTCCTTGAAAAATTCTTACTTCTTTCAAGATTCTTCCTGAGAAGGACAAGAAGCTGGCATCAAATTTCAAATCCCAGAGTTGAAGTTCCTGTTGTACCTCCTTATTTCTGAAAGGAAAAATATTTTCACAGGATCAAACCTCCTTCAAGGAAATAAGCAAAAGTAATGATCCATTTGCAAAATTCCCCTCTAACCTAAGATGCCTTGTTGTTGGTTCTCTGTGCTGACATGTTGCAGAGAAGGTCCCTAGTACTCTGAAACCACGTCTTTGCTCTCACATCTGCGCTTAGGATCTTTCTAGTTCTTTCTCTCCCTCCAGCCCTCCCCAAACTTTGCACTGACAGAACAAATAGAGTTGTTCCCCCAAGAGGTCATTTTCTTCCAACCTGTCGTTTTTTAGTTGGAGTATCTGAGATGCCAAGAGTTCTGCACAGGTCTCAACTTCAGGAGACACACACACACACACAAACAGCACTTACGTCTGTATAGCGTTCATAAATTTTTGTAATTCATGCTGCCTTTTTTCTGGATCCAACCTCATATGAAGAGCCAGGTCTCTCATCACCCTGTAATTTTTGCGCAGATCATCTGTTAGACCTTTGAAAGAAATTAAAAAGATATTGCTCAACAAGCAAGAATAGATTTATACATGAGAGGCCTTGGTTTTATCTGGAAGAGGAAGAGCCAACGGAGAGAACGCGGCTCTGGGTCACACGGAGTACCGTGGAAAGTGTGTACCTCTACGTCATAAAATCTGGGGATGAAGGGGGTGGTCTTCTGTGAAGGATGCATGAATCTGCTGTACCTGTCAGGTTGCACAGTTGAGGAACCAGGAGTACAGGCTTACGGGGTGTGTCCTGCTGGCTCTTTTTCCATTTGCCTTTGCTGATCAAGAGTGGCTGATTCAGCTCAGTGACCGCTTGATCATATCGCTGCTCAAAAGAAGCAAGAACGAAACACTGGCGTGACTATCACCCAAGCCCTAGTAAAGTCACATAAATAGGTACAACAGTGCATTTTTGGATCACCAACAGAGGCCCAGGGGATGTGCTGGGGATACTGTTTCCCCAGGTTTAAGAACGCATTAAAGATATTCTTCATGTTCTCTTAATTTAGATGTCCTGGGAATGGCCTCTTTTTTTCCTATAACACACGGGGCCGAGGAGAACGGGACCCACAAACATATTGGGCTCACTGTACGAGCCTTCTTTGACTTCATATGGGTAGATGTGGGACCAACTCTTGGAATATGTATTTCTCACTACAGTACTGTCTTAAAAATTCTTAACTCATAATCGAGAACTTGCAGGGGGATTCCCAAACTGACGGGGGACAACAAACCCGGTCACTTTTTGGAGCTGCCTTACCACAGCTATGCCAAACACGCCTCCTCTGTCATTTCCCCTAAACTCTTCCAGCGGGAAAAGGCATGTGCCAAGACATCCTATCCAGAAGGTCCTATCCCTAGGCTCCAATTCCTGTACGACAAAGTGCCTTTACTCTCCAACACAAAGTGATGATTTGTCATAGATCCTTTCATGCTGATCAGTGAGGTCCTCATCGGCAATCAGTTAGCCACAGGAATTCTGGTAGGATCTGTCTATTAAGCACCTCGAGAAAGTCAAAGGAGTTCCTGAGACAAGAAGACTTCAAATCCAGTGTTCATGGCTCTTTTCCCCTTGAGCTGAACTACTACTTTTTTTAATTCTCATGATCTTGTTGCAGACCATGTACATTTTTCTTCCTTAAAGTGGTCTGTAGTTATTTGAAAGGCAGCTGGGATTCACCCCCATTATCCTGGTTCTAGAGTCTTCAGGCAGAAGCTTGTACGGGTAGATGTATATACATGTGTGCAGAATCATAGTGTCATTTTAGGGCCTCAACCACCACTCCTACCACCCAGTCTAGCAAAGCCTTTGTACGAGCTATTCTTCCTGTTGAGAACTTCGGGAAGCACACTACTTATTTCTCACAGCTGTCCTGTGACATCCTAGAAGGCTCTCCCGCAGCATTAACTTCTGCATCTAAATAGGAGTTCTGTTGTCCCACTTTGCATTATTACGAAAACTTCTTTGAAAGCCAGGATTGTACTTCTAAGGGCTCATCTATGGATCCTGGGACTCTTCTAGGTCTCATGACAACACAACTACGTTGCCATCTATTATTAGACTGGGTTCTCACCAGGGCCTCCCGAGACTACCCAAGTCATTTCAATTATTTCAGCTCATCAGTTTTGCTCAAGTAAACCTGCTGAAATCATGGCCTTATATTTCTTTTACATCCAAGGCTCCTCCTATCAACACATGCCAAGAAGGTAGTTTGCTTTCATGTAAATGCTCTTTCAAATTATTCCCAAATCTACTGCTCTGTGATGCCAGCATGTGTGAACTATTATATATTACATATATAATATATGAACTATTATATATTATATAAATATATATTATATATAACTAATATACAACATATAGATGAACTTTTATGTACTAGTCATGGTGTAAGATGTAAGAGATACCATAAGGAACAAAACCAACATTGTCCTGCCCCGGGGGAACTCCATCTACTGGCAACGGGAGAGATTCATAATCACTCAAATACAGAATTACAAATTTGGATGGATGCTCTGAAATGCAAGGGGCACAACAGGATGGGGGGAGGTGGCCACAAAGGCCTTGAGGCTGAAGGCTGGTGTGAGGAGGCTGGGGGGTGCAGATGATGTTGGGATACCCAACATGGCTCTTCTCAGTCAATGACCTTTGAGGTGAAATGTGGAGAATGAACAAACATCAGCCTGATATCCCTGTCTGCAACTCCATCAGAGCCTACTGTCAACCCAGCAATCCCCAAACCAGCTCCTCACACAGACTCTCCCCTTGCAGTAAATGACGCCAGCCTCCACTCACTTCCTCAGATAAAGCCAGAGTCTACTCTTACTGTCTCTCACTACATCTGAGCTATCGGTAAGTCCTGCCCATTTGCACCTACCCTCTCCCACTCTAATCCAGGTTACCATGATCACGGACCTAAACGGACTTAACCACCTCCCTACTGGTGTCCCTGCCTCCCTTTTTACCCACAGACAGCCCATTCCCTGTACATTAGACACACATCTGTAAAATAAGATACATCGCTTCGTCCATCTGTATATCTGACAATAAAATCCGATTTGTCCAGGTAGACAGGACTTTATACAACGTGGCCCCCACCTCATCCTCTGACTTCATATCCTACAACCCATACATGTCCCGTCCATAACCATGTTTACTTCTTGACAGAACACTCTAGCCTCATTTGGGATCTGGGCATGGCAGCCCCATCCTGGAAGTGGGGTCTCTTCTCTCCTCCCCAATCTGCGCACAGCTTGCTCCTTTCTGACATTCACACACCAGCTCCTCAGAGACTTCTAGGACCAGCAGTCTGAGCCACCAGACATTCTCCACAATACCTCTTAATTATCTGCATATATCCCTCAATATAGGTTTTCTTCTTGTCTGCCAGCTCTCTTCCTGCCACAAGGATGCAAGTTCCTTAAGAACAGAGAACGCAGTGGTCTTACCAATGTATATCCAAGATGTGGCATGGCCCTCATTACATGCTCTTGGGATTGAACGAACAAGCACCTAGTATGGAGCACAAGTGGGGATGATGCTGTACTAGCATCATCCCCTTGGAGGGATGTCACAGGGCTCTGTGTAGCCTCAGTGCTTCCAAGTAACTAGATTTTGCATTCCTAAGAGAAAAATACAAGCTGTTCTTTTTAACTATAAGCTCTTTCCATTTGCAGCAAATACCTGTAATTCCTTGAATTCTTTCTGTTATCTGCCAAAGCTAGAAAACCAACCTCATCAATTTGTGTATCTTTGTTCACTAAGCTAAGTTTACTTATTTCTTTGTGAACCAAGATTGAGGAATTCAGGAGTTAGGAGATTTAGCACAGAAGTGACATCAATTCAGATGGTAATTGGTCTTTTTCTTCTTTTTGAACCACGTTCTATAGGGCTGAAACTTCTATGTAAGGCAAAGTGTTCGTATCTGAAGTCTTGACATTTTATTTTCTAGCCAATAATCCAGCATTATAAAACTACCATAGCCACTTCTAAGACTTACTGGAGAGGTCATATTGGAGCCATTCTAATTGTATGACATTACCCTCTATACGAGGCGCTCTAATACATGGAAAACAGGTACAAGTCAAGTTATAATAACCCCAAAGAGAAATTTTATAATATATGTACTTATTATATACAAGATTATGACTCATTCTGTAACAAAGTTATGCATACATTATTACGAGACATATTTGAATAAGAAAAAAAAGATTTAGATACACTGAAAGATTTCTTACCGTCTTGTAGTACTCTACGAAGGTGATTTCAGCCCCATCTGATGTTTTAAATGTAGTTCTGGGAGTCTCCTCCCAATCAATATCATCCACCCTATAGGTTTTGTTGTTAAATCTGTGGAATAGTCACAACATATGGTATTATTCCTAACGTATTCATTGCATGGATCATACAAGAAACAAGAGGCTTTAAATCCTACAAGTAATTACAGGATCTATCTGCTTTATTATATGTATAGCCTATATTTATTAATCTTCGTATATTCACCTTTCAACACAACCCAAAGTAATACCACAACCACGAGCAGTCACTTCTCATTTCCACTAAACTCCCCCAGTCCTTAGGCAACCACCAGTTTAGTGTCCATCCCTACACATTTGCCTACCCATCCTATTTCACATGAATTGAATCATACAATACATGGCCCTTCCTGACTGCCCTCTTGCACTTAGCCTAATGTCTTTCAAGGTTCATCCCTGCTGTAGCATGTTCTGTCACTTAATTTTTATTGCCCAATAATACATTTTATAGATATAGTACATTTATTTATCCATCTATCAGTTGATGAACATTCAAGTTGTTTACACTTTTGAGCTATTATGAATAAGGATGTTATGGACATTCATGTACCAATTTTGGCAGACATAGGTTTTCATTTCTTTTAGGTATATAACCAGGAAGAGAATTGCTGGATCTTATGGTCACACTATGTTTAGCATGTTGAGAAAGTGCCATACTGTCTTCCAAAGAGACCATACCATTTCACATTTATACCAGCAGGTTTGAGGGTTGGTTCCGATTTTTTTCCACATCCTTGTCAACACTTAATATCCACCTTTTTTATTTTAGCCATCCTAGGGGAGTATGAAGTGTTATTTCACTGTGGTTTTACTTTGCACTTCCCTGATAGCTAATAATGTTAGTATCATTTCATGTGATTATTGGTCATTTGCATATTTTCTTCAGAGAAATGTCTATTCAGATCCTTTGCCCATTTTTTAAAAGCTGGGTTGTCTTTTGACTTGCACGTGTTCTCTACATATATAGATGCAAGTTGCTTATGAGATAGGTGATTTGCAAATGTTTTCTCTCATTCTGTCTATTGTTTTTCACTTCTGACTTTGAAGAATGAACATTTTTAATTTGATGATGTCCAATTTATATTTTTTCATCCCTTCTCTGTTGGTGTCTTATAAGATTTTGCCTCACCCAAAGTCGAGATTTACTCCTATAATTTCTTCTAAGAATTTTATACTTTTAACTCTTACACCTTTAGGTCTATTTCTAGTTAATTTTGGAGTTAAATTGGAGTTAATTTTGTATATTGTGTCAGGAAGGCCCAGGTGGATATCCAGTGGTCCCAGCAACATTTGCTGAAAAGAGTATTCCCTCCCTAATTAAACTGTCTTGACACTCTTGTTGAAAATCAACTGACTATAAACGTGAGGGTTAACTCTGCGATTCTCAATTCTATTCCATCAATTTTTATGTCTGTCCTCATGCCACTGTCTTGATTACTAGAGCTTTATAGTAAGTTTTGAAATCGGGAAGCAGGAGTCCTCAACTTTACTCTTATGATGTTGGCTAAGCAACTTTAAGTCCACACTCTTCTCAACTTAAAATATCTGGTCTAAAGGGAGAGTAACAATAGAAAACTTCTTTCAAGGGGAAATTTGCTCATGGATTATAATTAAGCCCTGATTTTTTAAAAAATAGACACAAAGTGAAAGAAATTTGGAAGGAACATATTCTGTTACTGCAAGAGAGGGTTCAGAGCAGATGACTGGATCAGCATTAGGAATTCAAGAACAGTGAAGTCTACAACCAAACTGTATCCCTCTCTCGTGCTGTAGAACCAGATGAGAAAAGCACGGATGGTTCTGGCCATTGCCGTGCTAGGTCTGCTTCTGAACTTTAACACAGAGTGATTTGAAGTCTATGGGAACACCTCTTATTGGGGGGTGGGGGGTGGGGAGAAGATATCAAAGTGATGGGATAGGTTGTTTTTTTTTTTTAAAGCAGACTTACATTGTAGAAACAATTGATCCAACTAATTGTTTAGAAACTTGCTCCCGAAGATCTTGCTTTGCAGGGAAGCCATCACGAAGAGCCGATATTAAATCATAAGCTGTTTGCATTCGAACCAGTTTATGGTTCACATCAGCACAGAGGGTAATGCTGGTTTCATACTCAAGAATAGAAGTAACATATCCAGGCCAGATTACCAGGCTGCAAATAGAACACATTAGAAGTGAGTATCAAACTCCAAGCTCTGAACAAAGAAGTGCCACAGGGCTGGCAGTCAGGGTCTAAAATTGGTGCTTAGAAGTCAAGTAAGAATGCTCTTTTGAACACCCTTTCCAATAGATACTTACCTGATGTGCTAGTTTTATTATCTTTGTTAAACCTTTTTTATTACCACCCACAGGATCACACACATTTATACACATACATATATATATATCTGTATGTATACCTGTGAGAATCTATAGGATGTAGGTGTATAAATTATAAACATTATGTGAAACTTTCTACTTTATACCAACTTATGATCGCTGAACTCAGTGGCCTCACGCTTGTTATAATAGTTGCGACCAACTTGCTCCAGTTCCATCATCTTCAAAATTCTAGAAATTGGAAAAATAGATTTTGTTGAAAGTACCATAAATATTGTTAAGCATTTAGTAACACACATGAAGATACATTAGGGGGAAAAATTATATGCCAGCAACTTTGTCTTACAAATAATTAACAGGAAGTGCCTGGTACAAGTAAATTACATTGTGAGGTAGATATTAAGGTTCATTTAACCTCTGTTTTCCCCTACTTTCCATAACATACAACAAACTGTCATGGAAAGGCCATTAGAATGTCCTCCATTCCTAGAAATGAACCAAAACAGCTTTTGCAGAGTATGTGCCTCCAATTTTACTTCTGAGTATCTGTCCATCGCTGTGAACATAGAAAACAAGTGAATTTGCTCCAGGGAGAAATATGCATAGATGTGCATAGTTGATGTCTGTTCCTCCTTCTAGACAGGAACCAGGCATGGGATGTGGAGGTAGACAGGGAGAACAACACTGGGGAGAAGCCACAGAACTTAGACATGTCTAGGTGAGGTTCAAGTGCCACTTCATCTCCAAGATCCTTTGCTTTCCCAGAACGAGGAGGTGTGAAGAACACAAAATTCTAGGAGCAAACGTCTATGTTCAGTACCACTGACACACCAACACACAACTAAATCTCAAGGAAATGAAATCTTACGAACACACCTTCTAAAGAGAATGTTGTAATAGCGTAAACAGTCCGGCGAGGTGGGCATGAGTTCACTGGTGAATTCAATGGTCACCTTCACAACCTGTTTTTTCAACAGGCTGACCAGTTCCATTTTCTGAGATAAAGAAAAACAAACAAAAAGGTCTAGTAGTCCTTCCAAGGATAGTAAGCTCATTATTGGACCACAAATCAACAGGTCACTTGGGTATCCAACACATGAGCACGGCAGGAGCCATCTTGCCCCCAGAGACACATGCAGGGAGAAGATAGGATTTATGAGACCAAAGTAAAGAGTCAGAATTAAACATTTATGGTTACTTTTTTTTTTTTTTTTTTTACTTAAACAAGCTCCTGTAAATTATTCATTTGGTAAATATAGAAGTTTACTGAAGAAAATATTAAGTTCTTCTAAAATTTTTTTTTGCTGAAGTTTTAGAGAGAGCAAGAGATAAAGACTAAATTATTCAGTACTTCAGCATTTGAGCCATATTTGCCATTGAAAAGGTAAAAAAAAATTACATGTATATATTGCTCTCAAATTCATTGTAAGCACTGAAATGAGGCATGAAGGAACATCAGTGATAACGACATATGGCATATGGGTTTTGTTACAAGGCCTATGGGCAAAAGATCTTCAGGCGGTCTCCTCAAACCATCGTACAAAAATGGTATATTTGCTCTACTACAGTGAAAATATGAGAGAAAGAACAAACGTCAAGAAAGTATCCAGGGTGCCTAGATGGCTCAGTCGGTTAAGTGTCCACCTTTGGCTCAGGACATGATCTCAGGGTCCTGGGATCTAGCCCCACAGCGGGCTCACTGCTCAGCGGGGAGTCTGCTTCTCCCTCTCCCTCTGCTCCACACGCCTGCTCACTCACTCTCTCTTTCTCTCACCCCCCTCAAATAAATAAAATCTTAAAAAAAAAGAAAATGTCCAATAACAGTACTTAACTGGTGATAGTAGTTTGTGAGGTAATAATAAAGAGCTTCCATCAAATATATGACACTTTCCAATTAATGCTTTATGCTGCAAAAGCAGTTCTGTACGAACTTTTCCATCCTCAATGTCTGGCATGTAGTCAATGTTGTACTTATATGTGACCTGCTGGGGGCGAGATGTCACTCGGAAATGGTTTGTGAATAGCTTTACGGGTCTACCCTGCATGCCTGCAAAAATGGAGTCACATGTTAATAATGAAACAAGCTGACCAACCACACCCAAAACAACATGGACATCCCGATACTGAGAGCCAAAGTTAGGCCAAACCAGGACATTAACTACCAAACAAACATTTATATACACCTGGTGTCCAGACTGCGTACCATCCATTTAGATGGGTCCTACGTAAGCATACATTGAGAGTTAAAATAGAAGATTAAAATGTTTAACAATAATGAGATCAAAAGCAAAATCTCTAACACAAGGCTTCGGGGGGGGGGGAAGGGTGAGTGGGGAGCCATAATGTAATAATGTAAACACTGTAATAATGTTTAGTTAAAAAAAAAAAAAAATCTCAGTGGGTCCAAAGAGCTGGGTCATTCTATTTTAGTGGCTCTAAAAGGAAAAGAGAAAAATGAAGAGTCCATCTGGACTCTAAAATAGGTCTTTGTTTCTGCAAAAGTGGGTGCTACCACAACAACCAGAACAGATAGGAGGGTACCTCCCCTCACAGCGATAGGATGAAGCCTCAGACCCACTCTTAAACACAAACCAGATCGAGGAGGGGAAAAGATGGCGGAGGAGTAGGGGACCCTATTCCAACTGGTCCCCGGAATTGAGCTGGATATCTACCAGACCACTCTGAACACCCACGAATTCAGCCTGAGATGTAAGAAGATCCGGATCTCTACACAGAGAATATCTACGCAGACGATTGGTTTCGAGGTACAAAGCAGGGAGCCATGATTCCGTGGGCAGATATCAGAGGATAAACAGCAGCAGGGGATCCTACACCGCCAGTGAGCGACAGCCTCCTGTGCTGGGGATGGGGCACAGACTTGCAGATCGGTAGCGGCGGGGCAAGGACTTTAGGGCAGCCCCCGGGATGGAAACCCGGTGCAGCAGGGTCACACAGGCGAACTGGGAGTGGCTGGTGGTTTTAGAAGCACAAAGGGCAGGGATGTGCCCTGACCTGGAGGAAGGACTGGGAGCGCTGCTGAGGGGCGCACAACCCAGGACGCTGCAGTTTATAGCAGCACAGACAGAAATGGAGATAGTGTGGTCTGGAGAGCTCACTGAAGAACAGACTGAGATCTCTCTGCTCTGAGGCAGACGGTTGGAAATGGTCCCTTCTGCTCTGACTCTCGGAAGAGACGTGGAAAGCCGTCAAGGAAAGCCGCCAGAGAACAAAAGCCCCCCAAAAACGGTTCCCACTGAGCCCATCACCCGCCATGGCGGGGGGCAGGGCAACTCTGCCCAAACAGGGTTGCCTGAGTAACAGCACGGCAGGCCCCTCCCCCAGAAGACAGTCTGGGAGAACAAGAGGCTGACAACCTTAAATCCCTATAAAACAGGTGCATCTTCCTTGGGTGTGGTCAATAATTTGGACTCTATACATTCCCTCAACCACCCATCAACAGAATGACTAGGAAGAGGAACCCCCAAAATAGGAAAGACTCAGAGATTATGATATATGCCGCAGATTTACAAATGGATGCAGATATAACCAAGATGTCAGAGATGGAATTCAGGCTAGCAATTGTGAAGACA